GCGGGCCTTACAGTTTCTTAAAAAGGGAAAATCCCTTTTCCACATTTTATTAGTTCAGGGTTCCGAGGGCCTCGGCCCTCTGGTTGGCATGTGACAGCTGATGCAGGCTGAAGTCTCTGGCTGTGTAATTACATGCTAGATGCAGTGTTTGCTCAGGGATGCGAGCCATTCCACATCCTCGGTACAAGTGCTTGTAAGGTGAACAAGATGAATCTGAATTGTGCCCCTCTTGTCCTGCATTAGTCCCTGTAATGTCTTAGCCTTCATCAAACTGCTCTGCTGTTTGCACTTCCTTTTAACTTCCCTTGCTGCTTATATTTCTTTTTTCCCCTCAGGTATCTCTCCTTCCCTTCTAACTGGCAGCAGCCCCCTTCACCTCAGGAGCGGGCTTTAGATCCGCTCTGCCAGGCAGCTTGCTAACTTCTGTGTAGCTCTCTGAAGCAGGTAGAGAACCATTTTGCTAAATGCATGCCGCTTCCACTGCCTTTCTAGTTCTAACCCTCTGATGTTCCTTAGCCGTTTGCCTCATTTCCTACAGTTTCAGCTGAAAGTATTGCTCAGTTGGTGGTATTACGCTACAATGTCTCTCGCAAGTACTCTGTACGGTTTGTGCAGTGCTTCTGGGATGTAATTGTCTCTGCAGTGTTTAAGATAAACTGGAGGGCTAAAGCCATTACAGAGAATGCTCATAGGACACATCTTGATAAATGCTGGCATACGTAGCATTTCCATGCACTGGAGATGGTTAGAATCAAGGAAGACCTAGAAAACGAAAATACAATACCTTTTCCCCTAGCATTATTATTTTGACCTATGACAGATGTCCAGAGCTTCCCTTTTTTAGAGATGTTGGTGTAGCAGCCCTGTTCATTTGGTGTTACTTGTTATGATAGCATTTCTTTGCACCAAATGAAAGTTGGTTACCTTGAATGTTGATAAAGTGTTTTTCTTGGGCATTTCATCAAGTATAACTTTTGGATGGGCTGACTGAGTATAGAGTTTCTTTCCTCTACTTGTTCCGCCCCCCTTTTTATTTCTTTCCCATTTGACATAGCTATCCTTTAGTGCCCAGGATTTTTTGAAACATTAAAGTCCCAGAATTGAGAAGGGACAGTTTCCCATGTTTCCACACCAGTGTGACTGTCCAGCCTCAATTTTGAAATAACATTTAACTTTGTCACCTAGTAAAGCCATACCTTGCAAATGGCCCTGTGTAGCTGTGAGTTAAGATGTGATAAGGTCCTTGACTAGCTTCTGACGTTTTTTAGAAAGGTCCGTGTTTTCCCGTGGCTCTGCTCTCTAGAAGGTGTGTGTTTTCCTTTCTCTCTTGCAGGACCTGGAGTTGCTGGCTACCTTACTGCAGGGACATCCTCGTCAGTCATGTCTAACCTGCCGCCTCCCGTAGACCACGAGGCAGGCGACCTTGGCTATCAGACTTGACACATTTGTGAGAGACAATAAATGCTGAAAGGCCAGTGCCCGGTCCACATTCCTCCAGCTGATACGTTGAAGCAAACTCTTACTGCCTTTCTCCTGGTTTCATGACAGTATTATTCCTTTTTCTATACAAATATTTTTATTTAGGAAAAAAAGTCAGTGATTCTAATTGTATCACATTGTAAGAAAGCACTCTGTGGATCAACCTAAGTGGGTACACAAGAATTTTTTTTTCTTGATGTATGTAAGCACATTCTGTTTCTTTATATCTGTTTACAAGACTGTGAATCAAGACAAAACTTTCTTCCTAGTTTTTATAATGTTTTTTTGAATTAGTGTGACTCTGGGGTTGAACTGCAATCTACAGAAATTGGACTAAAAGTCACTTATCCCCGGAAAAGGGTCTTTTCCTCTCCTGCATCGAGTCCACATGGCTGTCCTCCTCCACCGTCAAACACTATTAGGTTTTGTCCTTGCGCCTGTTCCCTGGTTTCCTCTCCTCAATCATTAACCTTCTGAGAGCTCACAGTACACGTCGGTATGTATAACTGGCTTTACCAAATTGAATGAAAAAGGAGCTTGTGCAAAAAAATTTAAAAATTTAAAAACGGATGTCAAGATGTTATGTAAGAGATTAGTGTAATTGTGAAATGTTCTATACGTTATCAGATATATAAAGCTTTCTATATTGAATGTACATTATACAGATCATTCATATGTGTACATAAAATTTTAAAAATAAAGGGAATTGACTGCTTTGTTAATGAGATATATTTGTTCTAATTTAATTTTTCCCATGGAAGACCTCATATCTGTTCCTAAGACAGATTTGGTGGTAGGAATAAACACAGACTTCCCTTACATTCACTGCTCCTTGGACAGACAACTACATTGACACATCTGATCATTCCTAACGTCCTTTGTTAATATTTCAGCCACATCTTAATTTCCAGAAACATAGCATTTCATTTATTTTCTCTTAAGTAATTCAGGAGTGGGCCAGCCAATATATTAATACTCTAATGTGTGAGACACATTAATTCCAATATTTTTAAGAGGAGGGAAATTTAGAGTGAGAACAGATTTTAAATAACACAGATCTCAACATGTAGGTCTCCTAGTATGATCACAAACTGCAAGAAAATATAAACATGTAAAGAATACAAACATTTCTTAAAGAATGAGGAAATACCCAAACCTTCACATTGCCTTTGAAAGCAAGAACCAAGTTTATTCCACAGTTGATGTGTAAACAGAGCTAGAATGGAATGGAATCACTAATTCAGAATTTTGCATCATCTCTCAAAGATTTTGGAATAATATGCCCGTGTAAGTATTCTAATATATAACTGCTTTTACTTTCCAGATGATACTTGTCCTAAAAATATGTTCATTAAAAGAGATTATAACAGCTAATTTAGGAGTAGGTGTTTTAGGAGAGTGCAAATCAATATACTTCCTTTGAATACTATGAGAACATAAATATTGTATTTATGATATTTAAAAGGCTGTTTAATCTACAATCATTGATACTTGAATAACAGTAATAGCTCATCTTTATTAAACAGTGCCTGGATGCCAAACATCGTATAAACTTACACATACATAGCCTCATTTAATCCTCAGAGCAAGCCTATGGGCTTGATACTGATAAAATTTTCATCTTCTAGGTGAAGAACATGGGCTCAGAGAGGCAAAGCAACTTAGCAAAAGTCACACAGTAAGTAACAGGGTAAGAAATCCAAACTACTTAGACCTGACACCAAAGTCTGTGTTCTGAGCCATGATCACAGCAGCAGTCTCCAGCAGGTATATGTAACTAGGAAAACTGAGGGGGTTTTTGTTTTGTTTTTAAATATTTTATATTGTAAACTAAAACAGATACAGAAAATCTCACTGAACAAGTTAGTTTAATGAATCATTATATAAGGCAAATCACCCTTGAAACTACCATCTAGGTCAAGAACTTTTCAGCCTTTCCAGAAGCCCCTTCATGTGCACCCATCAAAATCACAGCCCCTCCTAACAAAAGTGACCACTTGTCCGACACTCCCTTGTGTTTCTTTGTAGTTTATCACCCATGTGTATATCCCTAAACGTTTGGTCTTGCACTTTTTCTTCTTTAAATATGTTTTGGGTCTTTTTTAATCTTGTGGCTCCCCTTCCATCCCCTTTTCCCCCATAACTTTGTTGAAGGCCCCAAGGCCATTTTTTGTTTTTCCCAGAGTTTGGAAGTTACTGATCACACACTCCTGGTGCAATTCAATTTAATCCTCTGTCCTTTACATCCAGGAGCTTGATCAGATTCAGGTTCCATCCCTTTGGCAAGAGTAGAGGGGTGTTGGGTTCTTTTGTGTAGAAGTACATTATGTCTGTAGGTCATGTGATATTCACAATAATGGAAGCTCAGTGTGACTAGATCCATTTGTACGTCAGGAGCTACCAAATGCTGCTATTCTGAGGCCCTTTCTTAGTAACTGGAATATTTTTATAAGAAATGCTTCCTGCAAAAAAAGAAAGAAAAAATGTTAAGCAGGACTACATCAAACTAAAGTTTCTGCACAACAAAGGAAATCATTACCTACTGAATGGTAGAAAATACTTGTAAATCATATCCAATAAGGGGTTAATATCCAAAATCTGTAAAGAACTCAATAGCAAAAAATCTGATTGAAAAATGGGCAGAGGATCTATATAGACATTTCCAAAGAAGACATATAGATGGCCAACTGGCACATGAAAAAATGTTCGACATCATTAATTATCAGGGAAATGCAAGTCAAAACCACGAGGTACCACCTCACACCTGTTAGAATGGCTAGTATCAAAAAGGCAAATAACAAATGTTGGAGAGGATGTGGAGAGAAGGGAACCCTCGTGCACTGTTGGGAATGCAAACTGGTGCAGTCACTGTGGAAAACAATATGGAGGTTCCTCAAAAAATTAAAAATAGAATTACCATATGACCCAGCTATTCTACTTCCAGGTATCTATCTGCAGAAACAAAAACACTAATTGAGAAAGATACATGCACCACCTGTGTTCTTTGCAGTGTTTTTTACAATAGCCAAGATATGAAAACAACCTAAGTGTCCGTCAGTGGATGAATTTGGATAAAGAAGATGTGAAATATATATATATTCAGGGGAGAAGGCGTTCGGGGGTAGGCAAAATGGGTGAAGGGTGTCAATTGTATAGTGATGGGTGGTAACTAGACTTACTGTGGTGATCACTGTAGTTTCTACAAACACTGAACTGTTATGTCGTATAACTGAAACTAATATAATGTAATATACCAACTTTACCTCAATAAAAGAAAGAAAAAAGGAAATGCTTGCTTTTATCTGCTATTTGTTACCCAGTGGCACATTTTGTATGGGAAAGGCAGGAGGAAGGCTTAATTCATTTCCTTATCAACTTTCAAAATAATTAATTTACTCCCTGTCCTCTTCTGAGGGTGACCAATTTGCTTTCTTACTAGTACCATTATTGTCGTATTTTTTAGTATCATAGATTTAAACATTTGCTGTGTTTCACTCCTTTGTTCTTATAGGCGTACCTTGTTTTTTTTTTTTTTTTTTTTTTTTTTTTTTTTTTTTTTTTTTTTTTAAGATTTATTTATTCATTTGAGAGAGCGAGAATGAGAGAGAGTACATGAGAGGGGGGAGGGTCAGAGGGAGAAGCAGGCTCCCCGCAGAGCAAGGAGCCCGATGCGGGACTCGATCCCGGGACTCCAGGACCATGACCTGAGCCAAAGGCAGTCGCTCAACCAACTGAGCCACCCAGGCGCCCCTAGGCGTACCTTGTTTTGTTGCACTTGCTTTATTGTGCTTCACAGATACTGCATTTTTTTTTTTTTTTTTTTTTTTTTTTACAAATTGAAGGTTTTGGCAATCCTGTGTCAAGCAAGTCTTGGCACCATTTTTCCAACAGCATTTGCTCGCTTCATGTCTCTGTGTCACATTATGGTAATTATTGCAATATTTTAAGTTTTTTTATTATCACTATATTTCTTTGTATCTATGATCACTCATCTTTGATGTTGCTATTGGAATTATTTGGGGGAATCACAAACCATGTCTGTGTAAGACCGTGAACTTAATAAATGTATGTGTTCTGGCTGTTCCACTCACTGGCTGTTCCCCAGTCTCTCCTTGGGCTTCCCTGTTCCCTGAGACACAACAATATTGAGATTAGGCCAATTAATAACCCACAATGACCACAAAGTGTTCAAGTGAAAGAAGAGTTGCACATCTCTGACTTTCGATTAAAAGCTAGAACTGATTAAGCTGACTGAGGAAGGCATGACAAAATCTGAGGTAGGTGGAAAGTTAGGCCTCTTGTACCACAGCCAAATTGTGAATGCAAAGGAGAATTCTTGAGGGAAATTAGTGAACACATGAATGCTAAGAGTGAAACAGCCTTATTGCTGATATGGAGAAAGTGTTAGTGGTCTCAACAGAAGATCAAACCAGCCACAATATTCCCTTAAGCCAAAGCCTAATCCAGAACAAGACCCTAACTCTTCAATTCTATGAGGACTGAGAGATGAGGAAGGTGCAGAAGAAAAGTTTGAAGTTAGCAGAGGTGGGTTCGTGAGGTTTAAGGGAAGAAGCCGTCTCCATAACATCAAAGTGCAAGGGGAAGCAGCAGGTGCTGATGGAGAAGCTGCAGCAAGTGATGCAGAAGATCGAGCTAAGATAACTAATGAAGGTGTCTACACTAAACAGATACTCAGTGTAGACGAGAAACAACCTTCTATTGGAAGAAGATGCCAACTAGGACTTCCACAGCTAGAGAGAAGTCAATGCCTGACTTCCAAGCTTCAAAAGACAGGGTATTAGGGGTTAAGGCAGCTGGTGGCTTTAAGTTGAAGCTAATGCTCATTTACCATTTGAAAAATCCTTAAGAATTATGTTAAATCTACTGCGTTTGTGCTCCATAAATGGAATAAGAAAGCCTGGATGACAGCACATCTGTCTGTAACCTGGTTTACTAAATATTTCAAGCCCACTGTTGAGACCTCCTGCTCAGAAAGAAAGATTTCTTTCAAAATATTACTGCTCATTGACAATGCACCTGGTCATCCAAGAGCTCTGATAGAGCTAGACGACAAGATTAACGTTTTCATGCCTGCTAACACAACATCCATTTTGCAGCCATGGGTCGTGAAGTAATTTTGACTTTCAAGCCTTATTTAGGAAATAGGTTTTGTAAGGCTTTAGCTGCCATAGCTAGTGATTTCTCTGATGGATCTGGGCAAAGTAAACTGAAAACCTTCAGAAAAGGATTGACGATTCTAGATGCCATTAAGAACATTTGGGATTCATGGGAAGAAAACAAAATATCACCATTAACAGGAGTTTGAAAGAGGTTGATTCCAGCACTCATGGATGACTTGAAGGGGTTCAAGACTTCAGTGGGGCGGGGCGCATGGGTGGCTCAGTCGGTTAAGCGTCTGCCTTCGGCTCAGGTCATGATCCCAGGGTCCTGGGATCGAGCCCCGCATTGGGCTCTCTGCTCGGCAGGAGGCCTGCTTCTCCCTCTCCCACTCCCCCTGCTTGTGTTCCCTCTCTCGCTGTCTCTGTCTCTGTCAACTAAATAAATAAAACACTTAAAAAAAAAAGTTGCTGCTTCTGGATGAGCAAAGAAAGTGGTCTCTTGAGATGGGAACTACTCCTGGTGAAGATGCCGTGAAGATTGTTCAAATGACAACAAAGGACTGATTAATATCACATAAACTTAGTTGATAAAGCAGTGGTAGGATTTGGGAGGACTCACTCCAATTTTGAAAGAAGTTCTACTATAGGTAAAATGCTATCAAACAGCATCACATGCTACAGAGAAATCATTTGTGGAAGTAAGAGTCAACCCGTGTGGCAAAGTTCATTGTCTTATTTTAAGAGCTACCACAGTCACCCTAGACTTCAGTGACACCACCCTGATCAAGTCAGCGGCCATCAACATTGAAGCAGGGACCCCCCCCCACCACCAAAAAAATTACAACTTGCTGAAAGCTCAAGTGATGGTTAGCACTTCTCAGCAATAAGGTGTTTTTTGTTTGTTTTTTAGAGAGAGCAGGAGCAGTGTGGGGGGGGAGGGACAGAGGAAGAGGAAGAGAGAGAATCTTAAGCAGATGCCATGCCCAGCCTGGAGCCGGACGTGGGGCTCGATCTCACAACCCTGAGATCATGACCTGAGCCGAAATCAAGAGTTGGACTTGATAAACTCAAGTTAATTATGAGCCACCCAGACACCCTGCAATAAGGTTATTTCTTAATTAAGGTATGTACATTTTTTAGATATAATGTTACTGCAGCTAATAAACTACAGTATAATGTAAACTTTTCTTTTTATATGCACTGGGAAATGAAAAAATTCATTTGACTCACCTTATTGTGATATTCACTTTATTTCAGCGCTCTGGGACTCAACTCCACAATATCTCCAAGGTATGCCTGTATCTTTATTGAAGTTGAAAATGTCCTGTCTTTGCCAGTTTGGAAGCTTCCTCTTCCTGGTTCCTAAGTCCCCCCCAACACCGTTTGTTTTGTTCCTTTCTTCCTTTAATGTGGTAAAGTACACCTAACATAAATGTATCATCTTAACCGTTAAGTGTACTGTTAGGTGTTATTAAGTACATTCAAAATGTGCTATCATCAGCACCCTCCATCCCCAGAACTCTTTTCACCTTCTAAAACTGGAACTTTGTATTCATGAATTGATTGATAAAACTCCCCATTCTCCCTTTCGCCAGCCCCTGGCAACCACCATTCTACTTTCTATCTCTAGTGAGTTTGACTATTTGAAGTATCTCATACTTCATATTTATCTTTTTGTGAATGGCTTATTTCACTTAGCATAATACCTTCAAGATTCATTCATGTAGCATATGTCAGAATTTCCTTCCTTTTTAAGAAACTGAATAATAGTCCATTGTATGTATATGCCACATTTTCTTTATCCATCCCTCCATTAATGGACATTTAGGTTTCCATATTTTAGCTACTGTGAATAATGCTGCTACGAACAACAACTCGATTTAAAAATGTGCAAAGGACTTAAATAGACATTTCTCCAAATCAGGCATACAAATGGCCAATATGCACATGAAAAGGTGCTGAATCCCTAATCACTAGGGAACTACAAATCAAACTACAATGAGATATCACCTCACACCCAACAGGATGACTACTGTCAAAAAACAGAAAATGAACATCAGTGAGGATGTGGAGAAATTGGAACCCTTGTGCACTGTTAGTGGGAAGACACAGTGGTATAGCTATGGTGGAAAACTGTGGTGGTTCCTCAAAAAAAAAGTAAAAATAACCACTCATCCTCAAGGAAATGCAAATCAAAACCACAATGAGAGACCACCTCACACCTGCCAGAAGGGCTATAATCAAAAAGATAAGAAATAACAAGTGTTGGCAAGGATGTGGCGAAAAGAAAGGGAAGACCTGTGCGCTGTTGGTGGGAATGCAAATTGGTACAGTCACTGTGGAAAACAGTGTGGAGATGTTTCAAAAAACTAAAAATAGAACTACCACATGATCCAACAATTCCACTACTGGGTACCCCAAGATAACTAAAACACTCAATTTGAAAAGATATTTGCGCCCCTATGTTGATTGCAGCATTATTTGCAATATCCACGATACGGAAGCAACCTAAGTGATCACCAATAGATGAGTGGATAAAGAAGATGTGGCTTACGTATACTAAATGGAATACTACTCAGCCATGGTAGAGAATGAGAACTTGCCTTTTGTGGCAATGTGGATGGATCTAGAGGTATTATGCTAAGTGAAGTAAGTCAAAGACAGACCATATAATTTTGCTTATATGTGGAATCTTAAATGAATAAAAAAGCAGAAACAGACTCCTAAATACAGAGTGATTGCCAGAGGGGAGAGGCATGGGGGGATGTGCAAAATAGGTAAAAGAGTGTGGGAGATACAGACTTCTGGTTATGGGACGAATACGTCCCGGGGTTGAAAGGTACAGCATGGGGACTATAGTCAATGGTATTGTAGTAGTGTTGTACCCTTGTGAGCATAGTATAAAGTAGAGACTTGAATCACTATGTTGTACACCTGAAACTAATGTAACGTTGTGTGTCGGCTATTCTTCAATTTAAGAAAATGAAAAATATAATTACCATATGATCCAGCAACTCCACTTTTGGGTAAATACCCAAAACAACTGTTGAAAAAGCAGGGTCTCAGATATTTGAAAACTGAGTTTTACTCTTTCGGAGTAGAGGCTTTACCTAAGACTTCTACATGGGGCATTTTGCCTCAGTTCTTAGGAATAAAAGCAAGACAGCACAAGCGGGGGACAAGAAAGTAGAGGACATTTAGAGAGGTGGAGTTGTCTGGTATGGTTGGTGTATAGGGGTCAAGAGAGAGAACCCAGCCTAAGACCCAGGGAGTGGTCGGTTGGGCAGCATCCTGAGTGCCAGACGGAGGTGTGGGCATCCCGGCCTAATTGTGATTTAGGAGTGAGATCCGTGTTTAAAAATAGACAGCAATGGTTATAGTGTTTGACCAGTGGTGCTGTGAGTTCCGGAAGATCTTTTGCTGAAGAGTCTTTTCCCTTTTGTTTATCCATTGTCAGTACTTTCTCTTGGCTGTGTGGAGGACAAGAAAGTCCTAAAACATCTAAACCTTTGTCAATAAATTTCTTTACCTGCTAAAAAAAAAAAATAGCAGTGGGGTGTGATCAATTTGTTATGTTTGTCTCAGGGAAGGTGGTCCCAGGTGGTGAAACTCAAAGACACAGGTAATGCACAGCCCATGTGGAGGAGCAGAGCAGGGGACGAACACAGGGAACAAGCCCTCGCCAGTAAACGTGAGGAGTATCACCAGGTAGCTGGAGTATCCCTTTCAGTCCAGAAATTCTGTGATCCCTTTCCTGATTTTAAATTCCATTATAGGATGGAATGTCTCTAATTACCTAAGCTTTACTAGGCTTTTGGAAAGAGCAGTTTGAAAAAAAAAATGTTACAGGTAAACTTAGTCTATTTCTGGCAACCTATTGACTAGAAATTTAATGGCCTGCTTGAATTTTCAGGACCACATGGCGTCCTATGTGGTGTAAGCACTTCCTTTGGGACACCTGGCTCACTCAGTAGAGCATGTGACTCTTGATCTCCACATCATGAGTTCAAGCCCCATGTTGGGTGCAGAAACTCCTTTAAAAAAAGCAACTACTGGGGCGCCTGGGTGGCTCAGTTGGTTAAGCGACTGCCTTCGGCTCAGGTCATGATCCTGGAGTCCCGGGATCAAGTCCCGCATCGGGCTCCCTGCTCAGCAGGGAGTCTGCTTCTCCCTCTGACCCTCCCCCCTCTCATGTGCTCTCTCTCTCAGTCTCTCTCTCTCAAATAAATAAATAAAATCTTTAAAAAAAAAAAAAAAGCAACTACTTCCCTTTGAATGACCAGAGGAAGCGTGAGCAAAGAATGCAAAGACTCCTTTGAGCTCGTTTCCTTATCTACGCGGTAAGGTTGATAAGCGGGCAGGGCTGCTGGAAGGACTAAAATGCTGCAAAAGGACTCTGGGAACCGTGGGGCATGACAATGGCCTTGAAGTCAGCAATTGTCAACAGCAATTTTTCTCATTATGTTTAGGATCAGGAATAGGGTAAAACAAATTTCAAGACTTTTAGGTCTACATAAAATGATTTGTAATGTTTTAGTCTTTTTAGAAGTAGTCGTGTTGCTGTGTAATCCCTAACTAAGGAGTAACTATCTTGGCTCCAACGTCAGAGATGCTACAATCTTTAGTCAGCAAGACCACCTGTTTCCTGCAAGGAAAACATCTTCTTCCCTGAGCTGCTGCTTGTTCAGCAGCAGATGAGGTCCAAGCGGCAAGTCCTAGAAAGTGACTTAAAGTGAGAAGAATGCCCGGCAACAGAGTTCAATGAACAGTTCCAGCCGCAGACTGAAGCACAGACCATTTATACAGTCAAGCCAGTCTCATTGTCTCCCTAGGAAATGTAGAATTCAGAGTTTGAAGGGGCACCCGGCTGGCTCAGTCGGTAGAGTGTGCAACTCTTGATCTTGGGGTTGTAAGTTTGAGCCCCGCTTTGGGTGTAGAGATTACTTAAAAATAAAATATTTTTTTTAAAAAGCTAGAAAATACAGAATTCCTTGGGAAGTTGATTTCTTTTTTTAAAGATTTTATTTATTAGAGAGAGACAGCGAGAGAGGGAACACAAGCAGGGGGAGTGGGAGAGGGAGAAGCAGGCTTCCCACAGAGCAGGAAGCCCGATGCAGGGCTCGATCCCAGGACCCTGAGACCATGACCCGAGCTGGAGGCAGACGCTTAACGACTGAGCCCCCCCAGGTGCCCAGGAAGTTGATTTCTAGCAGGGCTGAGGGATAGCAGCAACCAGCCTCCAGCTTCCATTCCCCAAAGAAGAGCCCAGGGCTAAAACCTTGGCCTGCAAAAGTCCAGATGGCGGGGCATGGACTGATGGCTCTGCTGGTCGACAGCACACACCAAAACTTGGAACGGACACTGGCTTAGAGCTGAGAAACTGTCTGGCTCCTGGGACTGAGTGTGCGTTTCTGGGTGGGGTTTTTTAAAAGTATGTGTTAAGGGGCGGCTGGGTGGCTCAGTCAGTTAAGCATCTGCCTTCAGCTCAGGTCATGATTCCCGGGGTCCTGGGATAAAGTCCCACATCGGGCTCCCAGCTCAGCAGGGGGTCCGCTTCACCCTCTCCCTCTGCCTCGCCCACTGCTTGTGCGCTCTCTGTCTCTCTCTCTCTCTCTCTCTCTCTCTCTCTGTCAAATGAATAAATAAAATCTTAAAAAAAAAGGTATGTATTAAGTTTTGAATTATCCAGGTTATCTCAGAATCACTGCTGATGCCAAAGGATCTAGATGTTGATTCTAAATAGTCCACGCTCGTTAACTTTGACCCCAAGAGGCTGTGTGGACTTGGCGTTGAACTCTCTGTGTCTCGGTCTCGTGGCACCCAGTCTGTTCAAGTGAGAGCAAGAGAGAGGCTGCCAGTTGTCCTGGAGCGAGTTGGGTCCATCCAGGCGGCAGTCCAGGCCCTCACCATGTGGCCTCTTACTTTAAATGAGGTCCTTAACACCACCCTTACCCTGCTGTTTTGTCGCTAAGAGGCAATAGATGTAAACACCTGATATGGTGCCAGCCTCCTGGATGGTGTGGTGGCATCCGGGGGGGGGGGGGAACACTGGCACGGCAGGCAGAACCTACCCTGCTCAGGTCTCTGACCTTGGGCATCGGTTTCTTCTATAAAATGCCCAAGTTGGTCAGTCAGGAAATATTTCACTCCCAGGAATGTTATGAAAGATAATATAAGCCCTCCATGCAAAAATGTACAAAAGCACATATTTTTTAAATATTCAAGAACTCAGTCCCACTCTAATCCCAGTTAAAAAGCCCAGAGCTATGTGCTCGCTTTGGCAGTACATA